CGTAAATGCAATATATTAACTCAACAACTCCCCCATAGACTCTGCATTATAATGAAGTGGTTACTTCAATATTTTGCATATAAATAGACCCAAGTAATGTGAGGTTTCAACCCCAAATGCAACATGGAATCCCATAATGAAGAGCATGCTGCAAAACTACTTAGAGCCCAATCTCACATATGGAATCATGTTTTTAGCTTCATAAACTCCATGTCCCTTAAATGCACTGTTGACTTAGGCATACCAGACATCATACACAACTATGGCCAACCCATGCCACTCTCCAACCTCATTGCTTCCCTACCAATCAACTCTTCCAAAACTCACTTCATCCATCGCTTGATGCGAATCATGATCCATTCTGGCTTCTTCTCTCAACACAGTGACACCCACAATGACCTTGAAGTCAAGTATGCACTTACTGATGCATCTTTACTTCTGCTTAAGACCCATCCAATGAATGTGGCACCTTTCTTGCAATCCATGCTTGATCCAATTTTAACAAATCCATGGAATCAGTTATCTAATTGGTTCAGAAATGATGATCTGACACCATTTCAAACGGCACATAGGAAGTTGTTCTGGGAGTATGCTGGCAGTGATCCCAATATGAATAACTTATTCAACGATGCCATGGCAAGCGATGCTAAATTAGTCACTAGTTTGGTGATTGAGAAATGCAAAGGGGTGTTCATGCGATCGGAGACATTGGTTGATGTTGGGGGAGGTACAGGAACGATGGGAAAGGCCATTGCTAAATCCTTCCCTCAGTTGGAATGTATTGTATTTGATCTGCCACATGTTGTTGCTGGCCTGCAAGGAGGTGAGAACCTCAAATACGTTGCAGGGGACATGTTTGAGACAATTCCTCCAGCTGATGCCTTTTTGTTCAAGGTAAAATATCGCACAATCATAGTACAATGTTATGTTCTTATCTGATTTCTAGTGAGCTTCAACAAATTAGCAGCTAAGTAGCATATTGTTATTTGGCATGTAAATCTCTGCTCATGCTAGTAAAACGGTTTTAGATCCCATAAAATTTGAATTTTTTGGTGATTATAATTATATATTAACAACATGGAGGTGCTAATTCTAAGAAGCTTAACATAATTGAAGTCAATACTTCTTATCCTTTTAATGATTCTTCTGATCACTATACTTTGAATAACAAAGCAGACAGTATTGCATGACTGGAGTGATGAGGAGTGTGTGAACATATTGAAGAAATGCAAGGAAGCGATGTGGAAGAAAGGCAAAGAAGGGAAGGTGATTATCATAGAAATGGTGATGGATAATGAGAAGAAAGATGATGAATCATTTGAAACACAGCTTTTCTTTGATATGCTGATGATGGTGTTGGTGACAGGAAAGGAGAGAAACGAGAAAGAATGGTTTAAGTTGATTTCCTCTGCTGGTTTTAATAATTACAAGATAACTCCCGTTTTGGGCTTAAAATCTCTCATTGAAATCTATCCGTAGGGAGTAAATAAAATGGGCCAGATCTCTATAATTTTCTAATTCATAAGTGAATGTTGGATACGTAACATTAGTGATGTTGGAACTCAAAAGGTAGTTTTTGTTGCATGATGTATAATAGGGGTAAGTGAAGGTCACTGAATTAGAAATGTGAAGAAATATGTTTGTGAGGATTGTCACAGGTGAGCAAGATTGTTTCGTAAGGGTTGGACACATGTATGAGCAATACAACTCAGTATTTCAAATAGCATAATGTTGTTTGTCTTCATCTTGTATAGAATTTTTGGGGAAGATGAAAGAAGGACCATTTCACGTGAACACAAGTTCCAATATTCAGCTTGGTTTTGGCCTTCTTCCAGTTCTATTATAAATTAAGAAGCCAAAAATAATGAAAATAAAATAGTACGAAGGATTATACAGAAGAATAAATAAGAATGAAAAGCAAAACATCAAGTATAATAATGAAAAGGAAAAATTATTATTGAATGTTAAGTGGTAAAAAATTGATATAATTATATCTGGAATTGTTATGAAACCACTTAACTGATGCTAATTCTAATCTATTTTTCTCTCAATATAAGATGAATTCAAGAATACCTTGATACAAGAGTAAGGAGTATAATTGACAGTAGAATTGGAGTAAATCTGGAAGAAGGAAGAAGATTTTCAGCATGGAAGTCGCTCGAGCGGGATGGATTCTCGCTTGAGCGAATATTAGTTATTCTTCTTTGGAATTCACTCACTCAAGTGAGCCAATATTTGCTCAAGCGAATATCAGTTATTCTTCTCTGGAAGTCAGTCGCTCAAACGCAGAAAAATTCGCTCAAGAGAATGTTAGTTATTTTTCTCTGGAGTTCATTCGCTCAAGCGAGCGTTTTGTCGCTTGAGCGAAAACATGTTACTTTCGTTTGAGCGAAAGACGCGAAGCCCAAAAGCCCAAATTTTTCCAATAAAAAGAGAAGATGCGTTTTGAGAATAGGAAGCAGTTTTGGATGAGAAGAGGCGCGACTATTGCTAGGGTTTCGTCCAATCTTCATCAATTCTTCACGTCTTCCGCAATTTGAGCATTGTAATGGCTAACATGAGTGACTAACTTCATTCTCTTAGGATTCGGTGCAATTCTTTTGAACTCTTTTGTATCATGGTGATATTTTGAGATATTAATCTATGCTTTGATGTTGTTATTCTTATCTTTTATGCTTTAGAATGATTTATTCTTGATTGTTTGAGGTATGATTGGAAAATATATCTTGAACCCTAGATCATGGTAAGAATATTTGTTACGTTAATTGTCAGGAATGGAATGAATGTATCAATTGCTTAACACCCTAAACCTAATGCTGGGAAATCTCTTAATTGTGTGAGAAATCAATATTTATTAGGTTTTCTTATGAATTTCATGTGTGAGGAATCAACATGGATGATTTGAGTAGGTGACATCAACATTGTTAGGTTAATTGACGTTCTTAATTGACATAGCCCTTACAAAAGAGGGATAATGAAGGAAACCAATCCTAAGTGTCTTTAATTGATATTTTCTCAACAATTTACAGTTCTTTGTCATTTAATTTCAATTCAACTCTTATTGCAAAACCCAATTTGTTTTAATCCACTTAGTAAGCATAATTGGGAATTTCCATTGAAACCGTTCCTCGTGGGATCAATTTTTATTTAATCGAAATACTATACTGTGATTGATAATTTTGGTACGCTTGCCAATAATTCAACAAGTATTTCTAGCGCCGTTGCCGGGGAACGGTGTTCTTTGAGAATTCTTTGTTTAACTTATTAAGTATTTGTTGAATTATTAAGTATCTGAATATTAAAGAGGTAATTCCTATATCACTATGAACATGATTAGAAAGGAAGACTTCCTTTTCACTTTTCATTTTTAACTTACTTAGTATTTTCATTTAATATTTTCTTTTTTTATATATATTTTTTACTTATTTTATTTTTCTTTTGTAGACTTACTTTTTATGTCTCTTTTTTAAAAAATATTACTTCTTTTTGTTGGAAAATAGGATTTGGATACATAGAATATATGAGTGGGTAGCCGAAAGATGTAAGATACTCATTTTCTAAAAAAGAGAATTTGGATACATAAGATACATGTGTGGGCAGCCCAAAGGTGTAAGACATTCATTTTCCATGTCCTATACTCCTTTTTGAAGAGGAAAAAACTTGACGTGCGGGTTTGATTGACTGTGAACAACCCATAAAAGATCATACTTCCTTTTTTCATGTTCTCTACACCCTTAGAGACATATTTGGTGGGTTATGACGAATTTAACATATTTGGGCCATGAGGAGTCTTAGCCTTTAGCCTTAGGTTAAATTTATGTCTCTTTTTGTAATTCCATCTAGGTCCCTCCCCCAAAAGTCTATAAATAGAAGGTTTTCACTCATGTAACTAGGTTGAATATTAATGACAAGTTTGTGAGGTTTTTTAGAATGTTTTATCTCTTTAAGTGTCTTATCTTGAACCTTGATTCAAGTAGTAATAATCATCACTTATCCAGAATGATTCATCCCTTTTGTTGTAAGTAGCATCAATTGTCTCGTAGCGGAGACCGAGTTGGCCGAGTCACAATTGAACCGTGACACTTAGGTTATTACTCTTAAGTAAAAAAAGTTACACTCTAACTAATGATTATAACTTTTAGTTAAGTGGTAAGTGTTCAATCCTAACAATGTCAACACTCCACTAGTACCGTACTTCTTTTCTCTTTATTATTTTTTCTTTATTTTGTCACTCCATTTATTTATTAAAGGGGTTAATCCATTTTTTCAGTCATTGTCTTTTTTCTCTTTTTAATTTAATTTTATCTCTTTCTTCCTCCATAATCCTTGGAAATAAACTTTTATACGACTATCTTAATTTTCAGTAAAAATTTTCGTTAAATTTATTTATTTTATTACTTAAAATTCTGCCCTTTATTTTTTAAAATTTTGCACCTTATTTTATTTTTCATCACTTTTTTAATAACAAAAATACTAACAAATTTAGAGTATTTTAATTTCTTTCAAAAAGTTTTACCAAATGACGTACTTTAACTAAAACATATTAATTTCTCTATGAAAATTTCTCTACAAATTTATAACCCTAACGCAAGGCTAAAAGTTAGGTAAAATTATATGAATTAGTCGGACGTGCCAAAAGTCAATGATTTGTGTTTTTGTGGCTAACCGAGCTTGGTCGGCAGAGGATCATCATACATATGGTCCAATGAATTTATGCATGATTATAAAAAAAGAAGACTTTTACGTCGGAGCAATTTCATTTTAGTATGAATGCTTTAAACACACATCACAGTGGCAAATTCAATTGGTTGAGTAATTACAATAATATAAATTAAAGAATGGGGCAAACAAATCCAAGTCGTTGGTCCATCACGTTTACTGCAATTTATTTGCTATTATCAAGCATTTTACTTTTGGCATACGGTACAGTATACAATCGATTCTTAAAGTATATATGTTGAGTGAGGTACAAATCTAACCAGCAATTCAGTGAGTAAATTATGCAATCCCGCGATGGAGAGGATAGTGCAAAAGTGCTTCAAGCTCAAATTCACGTATGGAATCACATGTTCAGCTTCATAAACTCCATGTCCCTCAAATGTGTAGTTGACTTGGGCATACCAGATGTTATACATAACTATGGCCAACCCATGCCACTTTCAAACCTCATTGCTTCGCTACCAATCCATCCATCCAAAACCCCATTCATCCATCGCTTGATGCGAATCATGACCCATTCTGGCTTTTTCTCTCAACACAATGTCACCGAGAATGAGTTAGAAGTAGAGTACGTGCTAACTGATGCATGTAAACTACTTGTTAAGAACCATCCCTTGTGTTTGACACCCTTCTTGCATGCCAACCTTCATCCAATTATGACAAAGCCATGGCATCAATTTTCTAGTTGGTTCAAAACTGATGATCTTTCACCATTTGAAACTACACACGGGATGTTGATTTGGGATTATTTTGGCCTTCACACGGAAATTAATCACTTATTCAATGATGCCATGCAGAGTGACACTTCGATGTCTAGTTTGGTGATTGAGAAGTGCAAGGGAGTGTTCACAGGATTGGAGTCATTGGTTGATGTTGGGGGAGGCACAGGGACCATGGCAAAGGCCATTGCCAAATCATTCCCACATATGCACTGCGTAGTATTAGATCTCCCACATGTTGTTACTGGCTTGCAAGGAAGTGAAAACCTAAAATACGTTGGAGGTGACATGTTTGAGGCCATTCCTTCGGCTGATGCCATTTTGTTGAAGGTAACCAAAACTCGAGTTTTTTATGTTTCGTCACTTCGATATATATAATATCTCTTGCTTGACTAGTTTCACGTACCAGAGAAAGGAAGTAATACTCAATTGGAAAAAAACGAAAGACACACTAAATGTAAAGTTATTACTTTTGTGGTTTTGAAAATAAAAATGGATGGACTATGCATACTAGACTTTAGTTGAAAAGTATAAATTTTTTATAGACGTTAAAATGCTTTTGCTCAAAAGTTTGCCTATAAAAATAACCTCATCTACAAGTTTTACCATCCAATAATAGTAACAGTGACATCAGACAAACTAAATTCTTACATAAAATGCATCTAAGTTATAATCTGAAAAGCCGAAAGGTGAGAAGAAGTACGTGATACTAGTTAAAAGTTATTTAGGGGCTAAGTTCATTATTTAATATGATTTCTTCAAAGGATTTTGATGATTGTGTTGCTTTGATTGAAAAAGCAGTGGATATTGCATGACTGGAGTGATGAGAAATGCATGAACATACTGAAGAAGTGCAAGGAGGCAATCATGAGGGAAGGCAAAGAAGGGAAGGTGCTTGTCATAGATATGGTGATAGATGATGAGAAGAGAGATGATGAATCAGTGGAAACCCAATTCTTATTCGATATGTTAATGATGGTGTTGCACACTGGAAAAGAGAGAAGCAAGAAAGAATGGGTTAAATTGTTTTCCTCTGTTGGTTTCAGTGAGTATAAGATAACTCCAGTGTTGGGACTGAGATCTCTCATTGAGATTTATCCGTAGTAATTCCTTGAAATGCTATCATCGATCGATAAAATGAAAACTCTCATGAATGGGGAGAAGCCAACAAATCTCTCACATCAGCACAATTTTCTGGCCTTCAATTGATCTGTGTCTTTATTTAATTTATGTAACAGTGATGTTGTTGGAAACAGTGTGTAGCTTCAAACAATTTGGAAATAATGTAACACTAAGTATGTAATGTTGGTAATTCTGCAATAACGTTACAGGTTGGAAATTGAAATACTGAGTAAATTGTTTTTGCTCGCAGAGAGTCCGAAAGCATATTAGTTTAAACATTGCACAGTTAATGAAATAAAATCTCAGGCATTATCAACTCCCACGATGAAGAGGTTGGTGCCAAAGTGCTTCCAGTACAAATACACAACTGTTCTTTGGTACGTTAATGATGGTATTGGTAGGCGAAAAAGAGTGATATATGTGATTTTTTTTTAATTTTTTTATTAAAAGCATTTTTTTAAAATTAATTATTTTTTTCATAAATGATGTATTTAACATGTTTTTGTACAAAATATATCATAATTCAATTTTCCTTAATTTTTTATATTTTATATAATTTTACCACAGAATATAATATATATATATATATATGTATATATTCATGATGTATATTTCTTTTTTTCTTTTGTAAGAGTAAAATAATTTGAGATGAGTCCCATTGATAAAAATAAATGTTCAAATTGATGCAATCGAAGTTTTATCTTATCGGAAACGCAGGTTTGTTTGTACAACCTTGCAAATAAAAATTTTGAATCAAATAAATTAATTGGTGAGAAAATCTAATTAAGAATTAAATGTAAATCACACGCAAAATAGGAAGGAAGCATATTATTTTTCTCCAAACCAGTCCCATAAATTTATTTTCACAGTAGTCCAATTTTACAACATTTTATTTGAGATGAGTTGCTCTTTAGCCTCATCCTTGTTTTCTTTTTTGTTAGTTTAATTTTTTATTAGGTGATTATCTATTGTTATTACACTTTTAATTTGTCATTTTTATTGAATTTTCCAATTTATATTATTTTTATTTATTACTCATATAAATTTATCTTCACGAGTAATCCATTATTTGTTTCTCTTATTCAATCTCTTATAAATAGAGGTTTTGATGAGTTGCTCTTTAGCCTCATCCTTTTAATTTTTTATTAGGTGATTAACTATTGTTATTAGACTTTTAATTTGTTCTTTTTTATTTTTTTATTACTATAAATTTTAAATTGACAGGATTCGAACCCAATACTCTAGAGTTGGAGGCTGATGTTCCAACCACTAAACTACTAGGATTTTTGATAATAACTTAGAAATAAATTATATTTATATACAAATAAATGTATATTTGTGTAAATATATAAATATAAAATATATAAATACAAATATATTTATATATTTTGATATATTTATATATTTATATAGTTATATATTTATATGTTGGATGTGAGGGCGCATCGAGAGTGAAAGTGTGTATCGAGTAGATCTTCAAAATTTGATATCAAATTTAATCTAATTAATAGAACAATTTTTTCCTTACATAGATTATTATAAATTAATCAAAATCATCTTTTAATAATTATTTTTTCCCGACATAGATTAATTTATAATAATTTATTAAATAAAATGATTTTAAAAATAAATATTTAATTATTTTTAATATTTGAAAAATTATTTTAATATAAGAATTTCAATTAAATAATAGAAGAAAAAAAGATAAAAAGAATAAAATAAAATAAAGAAAAAAATTATTTTATATCATTATATAAATAAATTATAAAAATTATATTCTATCATTAAATTACGAACCCATAGAAAGAGACTCGCTCACAAATTTGACATCAAATTTTGAAAACCCACTCGACACACACTTTCACCCTCGAACACATTCTCACATCCAACATATAAATATGTAAATATATAACTATATAAATATATAATTATATCAAAATATATAAATATAAAAATATATTTTATTTATATATTTTGTATTTATATATTTACACGGATATACATTTATTTGTATATAAATATAATTTATTTATAAATTATTATCGGAAAATCTTAGTAGCTTAATGGTTGGAGTATCAGTTTCTACCATTAATGTAATGGGTTCAAATCTTGTCGATGACAATTCTCTTAATTTGATATTATTTCAACATTTAACATCGATTGACTCAAAGCCGACGTTGATTAGTGTAATCAACGTCGACTCACTTCGACCAACGTTAAATGATGACGTGGAAAACATATTTTATAGTAGTAGTTATATATTGATAATGTGATTTGTTTTACATATTATTAATCGATAAAAAATCATGTGACCTATGATTGTGAAAGTAATTTTTATAAACGCAACTTTGTTGTAATTTCACTTTATAGTGTTGTATCTTTAATTAAAGTTGGAGTTTACTTTGATAATTTGCATAATAAATGTTTTCATCGATAGCAAGATGAAATTCCAATTTTAATGGAAAATAGATAAATAATTATTTATAAGTTTTGTCATTAAGTTAAAAAACTTACAAATATGTATGGAATGACGTTATATTTTATATTGTTGCCTTTTATAAATACTTTATTACGGTGTAGGAAAGTATAAATCTTGCGTTATCGATTCTTCGAATAATATTATACATTTTTTTTACTTTAATTTTCAAGTATTGTGAAAATGTATGCTATATAATATTAAAAATATTTTAAATATGACTACTAAAGTAAAAAAAATGTTTCACTTATTTTTTTTAACGAGGTACTTTAGAAAGGGAAATTTGGTTTAGACTAAGAAAAATAAAATTACGAGCTACTAAAATCAAATTCTCATTAGTGCATATACGTATATTATTTTGATATTTTTTCTTTATATATAATTAAGGAGACAAATTGTAAATGATAAGTAAAACGGACTATAAATTATGTTTACAATTTAAATTTTTATAAAGATTCACGTTATATATAATTAATCTAATTCTCAAGTTTCTTGACTTTGAACCAAATTCTGAAAATGCTTTACCAATCCTCTTCTATTTTGAAGAATCAACTGGATATCAAAGAAGATTGTCACATTTTCTATCATTCGCATGTCATGTCAAATTTTTTATATATTCTTTTATGACAAATAAGTGTTTTTGTCGCTCGTTATGATCGAAATTTGGAAGGAGTTGGAATGATTATTATCACTGTTATCACTCGAAAACTCTCGTGCGAGAGAAAGAAGAAGTCCTCGAGTGAGATTAAAACATGACTTTTACGTCGGTTCGGGTGAGATCCAACGTAAAACTTACATCCCTTATTTACAAAAAATGCCAACATATTTTTTTTAGTTGATTATTTTTGGATTCAACAATGGATAACGTAAAAAAGTTCATTTTGTACTAGTGTTTAGATTAGGAAAATAAAAAAAGATATTTTATCTTATTAAAATATTTTCATTATTATTATTATTATTTATCATTAATTTTTATTTTAATTATTTATTTGAAGTAGTTAATAGAAAGAAAAATACATTTTATAAGAAATTATATTTAAACATAGAAATGAGGAGTATAATTTATTTAGAATTACAAGATAGATGAATGCCTTGTACCTTTAAAATTAATTTCAATCTTTTAACTATTTATAATTATTATTAATTTTTACAATAACTCTTCTCTAATATGACATAATAACAGTAATATTTCATATTTGTATCCTTTCTTTTTTATTTTCCTCTTATTTTATTTTTTTTTTACGTATTTTATTATAACTTTGTTCTTTTTTTTTTTTTCTATTGCGATTAGACTTTTTTCTCTCTCTTTCTCATATTCACAAATCTCATATTCACAAAGTATTTCTTTTCATTATAAATGTCTCAAATACATTCAAAATCATCATACGGAAAAACGAAGAAGAAAGATAAGATTTTAGCCAGAAGGCAACTCAGATTAGAATAGGAAAACTTAAATGATTCAAAGATGGAAGAATATTTTGTTAGATATGTTGACTTTATGAGTTAGAAGAACAATAATCACATATTTTAAATTTATCGTGGGAGAAACATTATAAGCTTTTAATTTTATTACAGTAAAACAACAAGACAATAATAAAAACTCCAAAGTTTGATGCGGTACAACAATTAAAGTTTCTAATTTTTTGTGAAAAAAAGAAAGAAAATGATTTTAACATACTATTAATTGCACTAAAACTTATTGTTGATTTTTTGTCTTAAAATTGATACATTTAATTTTAACCATTAGTTCAATGTAATGGTATTGAAATGAGAGGATCAAATCCAAAACCAGAAGAGAAGAAACGTGATAGATGTAAGAAGCCATGGTACGATAAAATAAAGATAATGAAATAATAACCTAATAAGATGAAATATCAAGTGAATTAATGCATCTTCGTACTATTTTTATCTGCAATAATATTTACAATTAATATCTGCATCACAGCTATTCATTATTTTTTAGCACAAAAAATATATGATATAAAAAATACAAAAAAAAAAAACAAATATCCAAATACAAAAAAGACATCATAGCAAGTTGTGTCTCTGAATTATATAATATTTTTAATAAAATAATGTGTATGCAAAAAATATTATAACTTCACAATCATTACACGAAAATATAATTATTTTTTAAAAGAATATTCCTAACTTGAAACAAAGAAAACAGTTTCTGGAAAACACAGCTGCCTTTATTTTTTTTAGCCAATTTTATAAACTATAAACGGTCAAAGAAGTAGTTAATGATTCCTTTTAATTCTCTTAGTGTAAATATGATAAGTCTATTATAGTTTGAAAAAAATAATTACTAATAAATATTTCTACAAAAGAAACTTATATAAAAATTAAAAATTTAAAAAACTATATCAGTGTTTTTAGAAACTAGTTTATGGACAGATTAATTTATAAAAAAGGTATTATTTTATGTTTTCTTCTATCTAAAAGTACTTAAATTTATCCAAACATGTTTTTTGTTTAACATAGTTGGTGAACTATCTCGTAAAGTATTCATTAAAATAGGAAAATGTAGACCATGAAAACTATGTTTGGTTTATGTTTGCACGCTTTCAATTTATATTTGTCCAGAATGTTTAATGATATGTAAGATTTTTTATTTTAAGAAGATATTTGATAGTAATAAATTTTTTTTTATTATTATAACGAGATTTAAAAAATATATTTTTATATTTTATTTTCTTTTTCAATAACATTACCAATAAATCATTTTTTTTTCAGAAATGAGTTTTGACCAACTTTTTTAATGTTTGGTGTGATGTACATTTCCATGGTAGTTAGCAGCCAAAATTGAAAATAACCCAATAACTTACTTTAGCCAACACATAATTAATAAAGAATTAAACATAAAATCGAAGCTGTTATCCGATGAATAAAAAAGGTTCATGGGATAAGTTTAACCTCTTTCTAGAATGAAAAGGAAAAACATGCTCTCATGACACAATCATTCAATGTCACTTTAACACGTCTTCCATTTTGTCAAAAAAAAAAAAAAAAGGGACAATTATTATAATCAATGGAAGAAATATTATGCCTTCCATATGTTAGACGTAAAGTTGTTGATATGGTAAATTTTACATTTGAAATACTTTTTATAATTTATTTAATTTTTAAAAATTTATAGATCTGATTTGATAACTACTTTGTTAAAATATTTTTATTTATTTTTATTAATAATATTTTTACATTCATCAGTAACTGTATTATATTATCAATTGCATCTAAAATTATAAATATATGCTTTCCTAGCTTTCTTATAATTTCTCACCGTGATTAATGTTATCTTTAATTCAAATAATTTTAAAGTAAGATTATAAATAAAATGTAACTTCAATTAATTTTGAAAATTAATCTTTTAAGATATCTTCAATAAGAGTTTCTTAAAATTAAAATACATTATTTTATCGTAGAGTTACTTATATAACTAAGTAGTAATTATGACTAGGTTTTCATTGGAGACTGTGTAAACATGATAAGTCTTTTTAGAAAAAGAGATTATATTAATTTAAAATATTTTTTATAATTAATAATAAATTTGTTTATTAATTAGATATCATAAAATCATAAATATCAAACTTATTAAAGATATTATTATATGTGGTATGTGCATTCAACTTCTGTTTGAAGATTGGCTGAAAACAAAGGATTGGGTCCTCAGCTATGATATTGAATGAACATCTAATAAATTTAAAATTATTAAAATTTAAGCAATTAACAGTCAAAACAATTATTGAATAAAAAAGTTAATAATTAATGTGTTCCACTTGTCAGAAGTGCAGAAAAGAATAGTAGTAATAATTAATGTAAGAGATATTATAGTGTTTTCTGCTAATGATTTCCACTCATAAAGAGTTGGTCGTCAATAGTTAATTACACAAGAAAGCAATGCATAGCACGAGACACAGCTGTTCATATCTTAACAGCAGTTATTCATATAATCTCACAAGCAATATTTTGACCACTGAATTAAGTAGGTATTTATAATGTAATATTTTTGATAAATAATACTAACTAATATCCATTTAAGGGATTCAATCATATAATATTTATCTTGATAAGAAATTAAATAATCATCATACTATAATAAAATATGTACCAAAATGACAAGATCAAAGTTTCCTATCTAAGATGGGAATCCCTTTTTAATTTAAGAGAGTTTTGGAAAAAATAAAAATGATCGGTAACTTTGGTATTCTTTCAGACTAATTCTTTTGATTAATATACGTAAATTTACAATTAGCAAATGAAAAATATAATTTGATAATTCAAATTCATACCACTCTTATATATAACTCTCTTTTAATATTATAATAATAATTTTATTTTTATTTTTATTAAATTATTCTTTAAATTATTATATTAATAAAAGACAGTTGTTTAGAGGGTTACATTATTTATAATTATCAAAATATCAGGACTCTTGTTCTCTTATTATGAAGTGGCTGTTCTTGGTTGCTTATAAATAGACCCAGTAATGTGAGGTTTCATACACCAGATCGAACATGGAATCCCATGATGAAGAGCATGCTGCGAAACTGCTTAGAGCTCAATCACACATATGGAATCATATTTTTAGCTTCATGACCTCCATGTCCCTTAAATGTACTGTTGACTTAGGCATACCAGACATCATACACAACTATGCCCAACCCATGCCACTCTCCAACCTCATTGCTTCACTACCAATTCACTCTTCCAAAACTCACTTCATCCATCGCTTGATGCGAATCATGGTCCATTCTGGATTCTTCTCTCAACACAGTGACACCGACAGTGACCTGGGAGTCAAGTATGCACTTACTGATACATCTTTACTTCTACTTAAGAGTAATCCAATGAGTGTGACACCTTTCTTGCAGTCCATGCTTGATCCAATTTTAACATATCCGTGGAATCATTTTTCTAATTGGTTCAAAAATGATGATCTGACACCATTCCAAACGGCACATGGGAAGTTGTTCTGGGAGTATACTAGCAGTGATCCGAATATGAGTAACTTATTCAATGATGCCATGGTAAGTGACACTGAATTAGTGAATAGTTTGTTGATGGTGGAGAAATGCAAAGGGGTGTTCATGGGATTGGAGACATTGGTTGATGTTGGGGGAGGTACAGGGACCCTGGGACAGGCCATTGCTAAATCCTTCCCTCAGTTGGAATGCGTTGTATTTGATCTCCCACATGTTGTTGCTGGCCTGCAAGGAAGTGAGAACCTGAAATTCGTTGGAGGGGACATGTTTGAGACAATTCCTCCAGCTGATGCCATTTTGTTTAAGGTAAACCATCGTCACAAATCATAGTACAATGTTATATTCTTACCTTTCTTTTAATAAGCTTCAACCCATACATACATACATGACTGATGTCAAGCGTTATAGAGAATTGAAGCAACGAATTGATCCATTGGAAAAGAAAGAAAAATATCATCATGGTTGATCAAATGAAATAATTAACCTTTAGTGCTTATCGTTAATACTAAAACAATGACATAATATACCCAATTAATAACATTTCTACTCATTTTTCTTTCTTTGTCTCATCATATTACATATTACATTTACACTTTTTTCTTTCCGATTTCTGTTTCGGATGTAGTTTGGTACATTCATGGTGGTGAATTAATTTTGTTATAACAAAGTTAATGATAAATGTGCATATTTCACCTGTTGATCTGTTTAAGAAATTGTGGTTAGAAAACTAACAATTATGATTCTGATTTTATTTCTAATTATTAAACATAAATATTATTAAATAAGAAAGTAAAGTAGCATATTATTGTCGTTGACATGTAAATATCTGTTTTAGATCCCATCAAATATGAATTTTTTAGGGGATTAATCATATATTGCAATTAAGAACATTACATGAGGTGCTAATTGCAACAAGCTTACGTGAGTGATTTACTTTATTTGCTTCTGATGATTCTTCTCATCACAAAAGCAGTGGATATTCCATGCCTGGAGTGATGAGGAGTGTGTGCAGTTATTGAAGAACTGCAAGAAAGCCATGTTGAAGAAAGGCAAAGAAGGGAAGGTGATTATCATAGACATGGTGGTGGATAATGAGAAGAAAGATGATGAATCACTTCAAACACAACTCTTCTTTGACATGTTGATGATGGTGTTGGTGAAAGGAAAGGAGAGAAACGAGAAAGAATGGTTTAAGCTGATTTCCTCTGCTGGTTTTAGTAACTACAAGATAACTCCCGTTTTGGGTTTAAGATCTCTCATTGAAATCTATCCATAACAAGTCAATAAATCAGCACTCATAGTTCATGTGAGAAACAATTTATTATTTGAAGAATAAGAATTATAGATTAATTTGTTTTCTTATCTTTATGTAATGTAAGTTTTATTTCAATTCCTTGAGAACGTTGGATTTGTAACTCGCGTTGCATTTTATTAATAGGTGAACACATATATTAGATTTAATGAATATATGTACGTAGAATTAATTTGGATTTGAAATTTATAACTTTTTTAGATTTAATTTCATCTAACCCGTTTTTAATAAGGTTAAATTGAATTAGATTAATGGATAACGTAATTTATAAAATTATTACATTTAATTTTTATATTTTTTTGGATAAATTTCTTAAAAATATAATATATTATTTATAATTTAATATTTTTAAAAAGTATTTAATTAATATATATTATATTACACTATGAATACTATTTAATTAATATATATTAAATAAATTAAATAATAATTATATTACACTATGAATACTATTTAATATTTTTAATCAAGATAAGTTGAATCAGTTTTTAAGTTTAATAGACAAAATTTGTTTCAACATAATACGAGATTAAATTGAATTAAGTTTAACCAATTATTAAATCACAGAACCCAGTTTATTTGGGGATTTTTTTATTATCGAACAGGTTTTACAGATTGTTTCCAACAGGTTATTACAAATACTAAGAATACTCTAAAAGCAAGAATTTTTTCCCCCACAGGTTTCATATGTATAAGTAATGTTGATTTAAATACATATTAGTATTTTTAAATAAAATATAATAAGTAATAGAACTATTATATAAATAAATTTATATCACATTTATTCATTTTTACTGTTTTTTTATCTAATTTAAAGGATTTTTTCACTTCATTTTTTTCCTTCTACCACTTCCTAAGAACATTATTAATTATAAATGTAGAAGGAAGTATTTAATAACTATAACTAAAAAATTATACAATACAACAAGTAAAATTAGCTCATAATTAACTAATTTTAATTTATAAATAAAATTGTTAATTTCATTTTCTTTTCTAGAAATACATATGAATAAATATGTCATTGTTTTTTTAGATAATTAATGTAACTTATCTTGTAAAGAATATATTAAAATAAAGTCGACCATATATTATATGTTATAATGATAAGAATTAGCAGCAGAAAAAAAAACGAAAACTATAATATTTGTTATGTTGATTGAAGCCGATAAAAATTATACTTGGGTGCAGTGAAGTCAATGTTGATCCAACGCTACTCTAATTTTATTTTAACATCTATTTATTTAAAAGATAGCGTCAGTCAACGTTAATATTACTTATTTTTGTTCTATTTTAATTTTTTTATTTAAGTTAGTATTTGAGTAAGTCAATGTTCATCTTATAATTTTTAATATTTAGTTATTTAAATCAACATCAACTTAACTGATGATAATCTAATTTATTCTTATTATTCCTTTGTTTAAGGAAGCGTCAGCGATGTTAGCACTAATTTAATTTACATATTTTTTATTTAATTTAGTATTAACTTTAATTTATTTTTATTACTTCTTCACAATTATTTTGTGTAAATATAACTTTATAACATGTAATATAATTTATACATAATATTCAGTCAAAAAATCAATTATTCAAATTAATTTTATTCATGACGCAATAGGATTATTTTCTGTTTTTTTTTTCAATAAACAAAACTCGAATCTTCAAAATACTTTTTTTTTCAGAAAAAACTAAAACATATACTTAGATTAATTCCTTTTCATTGATTTTTATTTTTTATTATACTTGAATAATCTTTATAGATAAACATAAACATGTTTTTTAATTTTAAAAAAATCATTAATTAACTATAAATTTAAATTTAATTAAAGGAATAATGATCAACGGTCAAATTTATATATTGATGTTTAATTTTTTTTGTTAACAAAGATAAATTTTGAAATAAATAATTAAGTTAAGAGTTTTAATTTCAATTACTTTGTTAATATTGGTAAAAATATATGAAAAATTCAAATAAAGAAAAACAAAATAGAACTTAAGTAAATGACGATTATCTAAATGAGTATAAGAACTTTAAGAGTTTTGGTATTTCTTGTCCCATGACTTGTTGAATTTGAGTTTTGTTGATTGATGCTTTTAGATGTCATGTTTTAGTATATTATGCAGTGCCAGAAGGATTTACAGGACTGACTTTGTAAATAACTGGTTCTATTAATTGAACAAATATTGGTAGAGTCACTACAAGAAATATTAAAATTACCGACGGTCAAAATCCGTCGGTAATAATAAAAATCCGTCGGTAAATGAATATTACCGACGGAATTCCGACGGCCAAAAATCCGTCGGAAATTCGCTTGTCGGTAAATATTACCGACGGATTTATCCGTCGGTAAATATGTTACGAAATTACCAGACGGATTTATCCAGTCGGTAATAATTTTATTAATTATTAAATATTTTACTTATTTATAACATTATTTTTTTTATAGAACCCCTCCCCTTATATTCTTATTATTTATTATTAATTATTTCTCCATATTATATTTTTATAACTTTGAATTATTGTCGGATTAGAGAAATGTCATTGGCAGGATTCGAACCCAGGACCTTAGAGTCGAGGTCGATACTCCAACCACTAAGCTACCAGAATTTCTTGATAACAATTTACAAATAAATTATATTTATATACAAATATACAAATACATTTATATATATTTATATATATTTATATACATTTATATATATTTATATATATTTATATATTTTTTTTATATATTTATATATATTTATATATATTTATATATATTTATATATATTTATATACATTTATATATATTTATATATATTTATATATATTTATATATATTTTTTTATATATTTATATATATTTATATATATTTATATATATTTATATATATTTATATACATTTATATATATATTTATATATATTTATATATATATTTATATATATATTTATATATATTTATATATATATTTATATATATTTATATATATTTATATATATTTATATATATTTATATATATTTATATATATTTATATATATTTATATATATTTGTATACATTTATATATATTTATATATATATATATATATATATATATATATATATATATTTATATATTTTATATATTTTATATTTTATATATATTTTATATTTTTATATATTTTTATATTTTTATATATTTTTATATTTTTATATATTTATATATATATATATATTTATATATATTTATATATAATTAAATATTTATTTTTAAAATTACTTAATTTAATAAATTATTATAAATTAATCTAATTATGATTAAATTAAATTATTAAATAAAAAATATTTTATTTTTTAATTAGTGAATAATTAAATTATATTATATAATTTTACCGACGGATTTATCCGTCGGTAAATAATTTTTAATTTACATATGAATTTACCGACCGGATATATCCGTCGATAATTACTTGTTAATTTATCGATGGATTTACCGACGGATATATCCGTCGGTAAATTCATCTATAAATTACCGACGGATTTATCGACTGGATATATCCGTCTATAACTAATAATTATTTTACCGACGGATATATCCGTCGGTAACATCAAATTTCACAAATATTTTATATCCGTCGGTAATTTCCGTCGGTAATGATTATTTTCCGACGGCTACAATTCCGTCGGTAAATATCCGTCGGTAATACGCGATTTTCTTGTAGTGAGTACTTTTAACAACCAGGTAAAAAAATGTTTCTATGTAAATCTTGTGAAATCATCAACAACCATTAAAAAAATATTTAAAATCATCGATAGAAGTATTAGAAACATGATCCCATATATGTACATAAATTAGTAAAAAAAATTTGAAGCACGACTATTTCTGAGTGGATCTCTTGTTTTGCGAAATAGCAAGTGTCACATGGAGGTAAAGGTTGAAATGTAATATCATGTAGAAGACAAATGTTTCAACCCTGTATGAGAAGTATGACCTAGGCGGATATGCCACAACTTAGAATTGTCAATGGTCTTTAATTACAGATGAAAAATGTTCGGAAAAACAGTTTAAATGAAATAAATGAAAAGTTGTTGTTGTTGCATGATATACCTTTTTGGATGAAGAAAAGGGGGCGTGTGCCTACTATAAGTTAGGGTTTCAGGTTGTGTTTAAACAATTTCTTTTTTAGTGTTCGAAACAATAAAACTTTTTGTATTTTAAAAAATAATAATAAAATAATTTGGATTTTAATTAGATAAGAAATAAATTTTTAAAGTAGATTATTATAACATTAAATATTCTTTAGTGTATTATTAAATTTAAAATTCAAATTTGCATTATTTAACATCATAATTTAGTTTAAATGCTTATTAAAACAGAGATAAAATGACAGCAAATCCTGAATCCAAAAATTAAGATTCAAATAAAGGAATAATGATCTAAACGGTAAAATTTATACATTTATTTTAAAAAATATTAAGAATGATAAATTTCGAAATAACTAATTAAGTTAATATTTTTAACTTAATTATTTTGTTAGTGTTGGTAAAAATATTTGAAAATATTAGTAAAACTAAATTAGTTGTGACTTTTAAAATTAAACCAAAAATAACTAAATAAAGAAAATTTTAAAATTTAATTAAAATGAAGATTATATAAATATTTATTTGAATAATATTAATGAAATTAAATGTAGAAAAGAGAAGATTAAATTGTAGAATCGAATGATTAATTCTAACGAGTTAAATTAGTAAATATATTGATAATAAAATATGATGTAATTTTCCAACGCGTTTGTATTTCCCCAATAAATTATTTTTAATTAAATTAAAATAAAAAAGATAAAATTTAATTAATGAACCTAGTCTAAATAATTATTAGAGTAATAATAGCATAATTGAATACTATTATAACTGTTGTTAAAAACTTATTAAAATTAGTAATAACAGTAATAATCGATTAAAACTCAAGCGTAACACTAGTGATTGATAAATGACACTTACAT